AATTAATTTATTTAAATAATTAATATTTTAATTCAACCACAACATTTCATATTATGTTTCTAATCCACAACAAAATTGCACTTGCATTCATTTGCACAAGGCCTTGAAAGCAGTAAACAAGGATCATTTCAGTCCCTGTAAATTTGCGAGTAGCCCTGCATTCAAGGTTAACAACAATAGTTTCCTGAAAAAAAACCCACTTTTTTCATGACTTAGCCACTGTTTGATATTACATCTGTTGACTTCACTGCAGTGAACAATTCAGCAAATAACAGAATAGTTAGAATGTTTTAGAAGTCTATTACATACTACCTGTAGAAAGACCATTTTAACAGGAATTGCCGTGCTGCTTTAGGAAAGCTGGGTCTTCCTTCATATGGTTTCAGTGCTTGCATCATTACATTATCAAGCCAAGCAGCCCACTGCTCCAGAGTGCTTTGCTGTTGAAGTGTCATCTTGAAATCTGTTTCTAGTCTCTGAACCATGTTGTCATCACACTGGCACACCCAGGAAGCCTGCTCCTGTTACAGCACATGGCAACTTTTGAATTAACAATACATAAGCCGAAGCACAGAATGTAATTCTTTCTCAAAAATTAAGCAATTCAGTGAATGAAAAGGACAACCCCCTGGCTAGATAAACTAGGGAGATATTTATGTCTAGCATAATTTTGTCAAAAGCAAATGGATGGGAAAAGCTTAAAAAATAAGAACAGACATTAAATAAAGAAATGAGAATGAACAATGGAAACAACACAAACGTAGTTTTCTACACTAATTTTCAAAAAGACTTCTAGTTTCCTCATTCATCATTCTTCTACTCAAATATTTGGGACTTGTCAGTGTTTTCTGGGACTATACGCAAGGCAAGCAAGAAGAACAGTTAAATGAGGGGCTAAAGTAACGAAGTGGCAAGGAATCAGTCGCAAGATTCCTTTTCAAAGAGGTTAAGCTTACAGGGACAATTTCTGTTATCTTATAAAAGAAAGCTTTGTAGGAAAACAAAGATTGTTTTGTTTGCTAACTAAAGGCATAATGGACTACACATTACTTAAAGTACAACAAAAACTGCACGCAAATGGAGAAACGTACTCTGCATATCATAATAAACAAATTAGTGCAATCAAGTTTAAATAACACTAGCTGGTCAATTCAGAAACTAAGAGACAAAAAATGAAGATTCACTAACTGCAAGTCATATCCTTAAACTTCAGCTATCATACGCCACGTTAACACCTCATTCACAGACTGTATCTATGTTAACATATTTCAATACTTAATATAGTGTATCTTTGGTCAAGTATGCTTAACTGACTTCTGTTACGATTGTGAACAAGTATGTTAAAAACACTCCAAGGGAACATAGAACTCGAAGTAATATGGAACATTTCACTTTGGTGGGCAAAAGGAAAAAAATACTTTTCCTCAGAGGGGCAGAAAAGTGGAGAAATTAAGCTTAGTGAAAATATAAACTTACATTCTGTAGCTAACTGGAAACTAGTTCTAATCTGTACTAATCTAACAAATTACTCAGGAGATCTTGTAAATTTAAGCCTAAGAATTTAGATAAGTAAGGTATTGCCTTTGAAATAGTGACACAGTCTCTACTAAAAACAATGCTGTGTGTTTAATAGCTTTTAGAAAGATTCAGAAGCTATGCTATCTGAGATCTAATTCTAAGATATCATTTATGCTATTATTAAGACATCATTCATAGTACCCATATTAAGAATGTATTTGCTCTACATCTGCATGGAAGTTGGAAGAAAAGGTGCACTTCAAAACACTGAATGGAAACAGAAAATGGTTCTGAGCTCTTACTTTCTTAAAGTGTAAGCTGTTCACATTTGGACTGAATCACTGCATATATGAATCAGCAAAATCACTTCACTTCCTTGGTAGAATAATGACAGTTAACAATAAAGTTCAAAATCATAGGGGAAATAACACTTTTTTTTTTTTTAAAGCTGGTTATTTGAAGCTACATTTTACCTGAACATTGGCAAAATCAACACGGTTAAGATCATTGAGCATCTGATTGATTTGAGAAGTATTTTGAAGCACAGCACGAGCTGCTTGAGCCAGGTGATTGAGAGATGTGTATCTTCGCAGAGTCTGGGCAAAGGCACTTACAGCGGCAACCTATTAAGAAATTGATTTATTTTAAATTACTGTAATCTTTATCTGTAGATTAATTCTACAGATTGAATCTTTACTTTCAATTTCTTGTTTTTGTATTAGTGAGTTCTCAAATGTGAATTATGTCCATGTAGCAGGTCAAATAATGTCTCCTCAAAATTTTTTTGACAAAACCGAGTTATTTCCTCTCCCATTATTTGCTACTTGATGCTAAACATGAAATTTTAACATTAAAGTTAAAATGCTACTGTTTTTAGATGCTACCGCTCACTTGGTTTGCCACTGCAAGAATAATACTGCAACAGTTTTGTCTACCTTGGTTTGTATCATCCTCTGTGGAATATTGTTCATGGCATTTGAAAGCCAGCCTTCAAGGCTTTTTGCAAAATTGCGAATGGCTTGGGTCAAGGCACCTGTGCATTAAAGAAGAAAAACAGAATGAAAAGCAAGCAATGTACCTGTCTTGCAATGTTTTGCTTCCTCGGTACTTACGTACTCAATGTCCAGGTCTGCTGCTTTTACATAGTGAAAGACAAATCCAGTCCAGGTTCATAATGTCTCATTCAGATATAGATTATGCAATAATGATTTTAGTTTTGGTTTAATAAGCAGTTCTGACTTCCTCACCTAACGATCTTTTAAAGCAGTATTGTTTCGGGCACCCTTATAGAAGAGTATCAGTAATTGCAGCAGTTGTTGTGATGGAAATTTCCATCACAAACTTTCAGCTTTCCATTTCATAGAATTATAGAACGGTTTGGGTTGGAAGGGACCTGAAAGATCATCTAGTTCCAACCACCCTGCCATGGCCAGGGACACCTTCCACTAGACCAGGTTGCTCAAAGCATGCATTTGAGAAAACATTTTTCCTTTATCTTGCTACATAGATGAAAAGATAAATTATGTCAATCTCTACCAAGAATTTAGGCTTTCCTTAAAAAAGGTAAACCTGCCTCTGTAAATGGCTGACCTGGAGACCTTACACATTTCCAGTTCCAATTTTCTTTTGTATCATACATAGTGTACTGAAACCTAATTTTATTTCCCTGAGAAGCAAAAAGTCAATACAATTTTTCTGCAGTGCTGTTGAGGATTTTCTGCAGGACTATGGTCATGTAGAGAATCTCTGAGCCTGAGCAACTCTGGCTTCGGCCTAGAGCAAACAAGACACTACAGGCCCTAGAAGAGAATGAACAACGCATCAAGGAGAAGAAACGTTACAGCAAGAAGATCTGAAGATCTTGGGAATGAAGAACTGTGAACACTCACAAGCTCACGAAACCACTGCACCTGACCACGCAGAAACTGCAAGTTGCTACGTGAACAAAGCTTGCTTATAGCAAAGATGTTACATGAACATCATAGCAAAGATGCTACATGCACAAAGCTTGCCTTTAGCAAGATGCTACATGGACAGAGCTTGCCGTTCATAAAGATGCTACATTTTTTAACAAATAATATTAGCTAGGAACCAATCATAATCAATGACATATGTGCTAAGCATTTAACAAGTGTATAAAAAGGCATGTAATTTTGCAATAAATTGGCTCACATCGATCATATTGATCATGGCGTGAAGTCCGTTATTTCATCCCTCGCAACACAGTGCAGTACCTGAAAATATTCTTATGGTGATTACAACTGATGTAGTCACGATAGCAGAAGAGGTGTTCACAGCATGACAAAACAGCTTTGTTAGCTGCACAGCTACTGAAGGCCCCATTTTTTAAAGAAAAATATTAATACCAATTTACAAAGTGACTGCTGTTTTTTCATGGAAAGGATATAATATGTAGGAGTTATGAGGTTTATAGTGGGTTGCTAACATGACCTCTTTATAATATTTAGCACAGCATAGGCAAAACAATAAATGCTTTATAAAGGAGTTCAACTTCCTTCATGTAAATTCATTTTCCACCAAAAATAGCCACAAAAATAGACTGCTGGAGTAACAACAGATTCTGTAAAACTGACTTAGAAAAAAAAAAATCTGTACTCCTGGTCATGGTTGAAAGGCTGGACAGTTCCATACTGCAACGAAAGAGTCAGGATAGCAGAAAGAGAGTGGATTGAATAATTTACTGTAGTAGAATACTCAGTAGTGGAATAATAAATTGGACTAAAAAGTTCTGAGTTCATTTTTCATTGCCTCAATGGCCATTAAAATTAGTTTCAGCAGCCACTGATAAGGAACTAAATACTAACGGTACAAAAATGGAATCACAAAGATCAAACACATTTTTTCTCCAAGTAATCAAAGATTAATATGAAAGGTTTAAACTAAAAACTACTCAGCTGAGTGGAAGGACTGACTGGCATTACTGCACATTGGCTCAGGGCTACAGGACATACATCGAGGTCTATCAAGTAGTCTACAGCCAGGGTACAAGGAACACATTTTTATTTGAAAACGTAACAGAGAGAGAAAGAAATATGTTTAATATGAAACTGTATCTTAAAAACTACATCTTCCAACTGCAGTAAAATCCTCAGTTATTTTTAAAATACCAAGCATGTGTCAACCCTCAGCACAACCTCCTATGCAACAAAATTGAGGATAAATGATACATGATACTTTCCTAACTTTCAAACTTACTACTAAAGCTGCCCTGTAAGCCACAATACCACCACGTCTACACACATGCATGCACAGTAATTCTTAAAATGTTTCAGGTATTCAACTTACTAGGAATAGGTCTAAGGACGTCAGGAATGAGAATCTCCACCAAAGCCTGGTACATCACATGGTCACAATTACACATCCATTTCAGAATAGACTCATTCTTGCAAAGACTAATCAGCTTTGCTTTTGGAAGTCGACTTTCTATTTCACTGAGATTGCTGGTGTGAAAAAGACGTATCAAACAAATAAATGAGAATGCATTTACAGCAGGTAAAACCTTCAGTGGGTGTTAAAATGTATTATTTTACAAAGATGTCATGTCTCAACCAGACCTAACAGAATATCTTGAGCTGTTGTGTCACATGGAAATAGATTTTAAAAATGCCTCTAATAGCTTTGCCACCGGTCAAAGTATGCAGAGGTACAAAGTATCATTTTGGCCTAAAAGAACTGGATAAAATATTGTGAAAAGACACCTTTTACTTTAGTTGTCCAAGCAAAAAGGAAAATGGATGATACAATCGTTTCAAGACTGCATTTTAGCATACAACCAGCATATACAAAAATGCTAGACAACATAAATTTAATTTGAAAAATTAGCATATGAGAACAAAAATATTACTCTGCAGGTAAAACCAATACGCCTATTTGACACTACTATTATATTATCATAAGAAGCAGTAGACAAAGAGAAACATCTACTGACCTTGGTTCGGTAATATTAGTACCATCAGGTGGAGCAGAGGGAGAATAGCGCCAGAAAGTTTGCCACAATTTTTCTATCAGACTGAACTGAAGATTCACAACCACATCCAGTATTGCCTGAGAAAATACCACACAAGTACAGATTGTCTTCCACCCCGCTGACCCCTACTCCCAGCTCGAACTAGATCTATAGCTTATTTTCCTTCATTGCATATTGGAGCAAAGGCAAACTGTACATTTCTCAAGTTATAAATAATATCTGTTTTAATACCCTTGATATCCATGAATTATCCAGCACTATAAACTCGTGTGCAGAGAGAGTTGAGTTAAGGCCAAGTGCCCATGCTCAGAAGTCTCCAGAAATGAGCATGACCTATGTAAATGTATCAGAGGAAGTCACACAAAGAAAATACTTAATGCTACTGCAATCACAAAGGAAACCTGACATTTTATTAATTTTTTATAATTCAGTACAGGTTTGAAAGCACCTTCAGAAATAATGTTAAAAGACATATTTTCAATATCAAATGTGGCTTAAAGGTCTCAATGTTTCTTTAAAATGACAAAAAAATTTACTGCTTTTAATGTAAAAAAATTACAAGTTAACCTGATTCAAATTTCCTATTCACTAAACCAAAGGTCTGCATGTACAATCTGAAGTTTAGTTTCTCTAACATTCTGAAACCATACACATAACTACATTCCATTCTCAGTGTCTATTATATATTACTTTTTTCCCCTGTAAAGGAGTCCCTCCAGAAAAACCTTCTTTGCTGATGTCCTTTCTAATGAAACAAGCAAAATATTCTGGAGGATAATCACATACTAGATTTCATAAACTTTAAAAAAGAAATGATTTATAGGAAATACCTCACAGTGCTCTCGATAAAGACTCTGCAGTGATTTGATGTCCTCAAAGGTAGTACCATCTGGTAGAGAAGATATTTCAACTTCCCCAAACTCTGGAAGTACTCGAGATGCATCTGTTTCCATGACAACATAATGAAAGAGGGCTGTTGTGAACCGTGCCAGTTACAGTACGATTAAGAAAAAAACTAAGGATGATACAAAGAAATTAATTCCAAAAGGTCATAATGTTCAAAGAAAAAATTCTTTCACACCTGTTGTACGTTAATATTGTAAACAAATTCAGCCAGCATTTTTTAATTGAAAAGAACTATGACAGTACTCTTGAAGACATTAAAAAGATGTCATGTATATACTACACCTATATAGAACAGCTTACACATGTTTTCAGAATATTATAGGATGAAGGAAAATATCTATGTCGGTGTGTGAAAGATTAATCCTTGAATAGTGTTTTTTCCTTGTTCAACTGAAGAGTTCCTATATAGTCAGGTATGATGGGATTTAGTAGACTCAATATACATTTTTATTTGAGACTTACTGAACTTTCCAGTAGAGCCAATGTGTGTTTTTACTATTTGTCACAAATGTTTCCAAGAGACAAGCTGATATAAAAGGAAAATGCTTCACTGAAGGGTACTTGGAAAGAAAGATTCAAAATATTTTAATGCTACACTTCTGTTCCCAATGATTTCAGTAACAGTGAAATTAGACCAAAGGATTTCATGCTTGAAAAAACCGACCAAATAAGCCTGTACCTTCTGCAAGAACACAGCCAGAGTCTTTCTACACAAACAAATAACTAAATTACCATTTGTTTCCATTACTGAGAACACAGACTTAACTGGATCCATGAATCCATAACTTGAACATTTCAAAACATTAATTTTGGGGTTCTAGTTGAAACTATTTGGCTCTTTCCATTTGTAACACCACAGCACACTTTCAAAAAAGCCCACTGGCTGGCTAATCTGCTTAGTACTGCAACACCACTGCCCCACTTTTAAGAAATAAAATGCACTGTAATGCACATGCAGGGAACAAATGTAACTGCAGGAATTTCAATATGCATGTCTAATATAACTTTGCACAGCAACTGCATTGTGATTTATATAATATCGAATAGATCACACAAATGCAGTATTTGCCAATATTTTCTTTTATACTTACATGATGCATATTAGATGCATGTTAAATAAAGCTCATATGACAGAACATGTAATTTAAGTGTCATTTTGTTCTGTTGTAAGAATTTTAAAGAGTAAAATGTAAAAAATTTTAAAAGGTAACCTTAGAAGCAACACCTGTATTTGTATTGATTTGATATTCACAGTGATAATGAAGTACATCGGATTTGTTTATACAGCACTATAAAACTTGCTTTCATACCTAAAAACTGTTGATGATGTTGACTTTGGGCAATAACAGTTTGTTCAACAGATGTGCCTGTCTGTTGACCACTTCCTGTGAAGCCATCTGCGACTCCATCCACTTTCTGCATAGGCTTATACCTACAAAATATCAAGTACAATATTATTCTTTCTGTTTACCTCTTCATAAAGAAGATCATACCATCTATGTTTGCTCTGATTTCTCCACCTCAAAAAAGTAGCAAAAGAATTCACACATTTTCATTTATTTTGCAAATAACAGAAGAAACAATTACTAAGAGAAGCCAGAGCATTAACAATACACTACAGAAGTAATAAAGGTGATAATGCAGCACCACTACCGATTTCCTGTGGAATTTAGCTTAGAAACAGTGTACCTACTGTAAGACCAGCTAATTTACACCAGAAGACACCAAATCTTTCCCTTTCCAAATAGCTTGACTTCCCAATAATTGTGTAATTAAAAAATAGTATTTCATTACGACAAAATAGTATTACAGTCTGAGGATGGGGAAAGACTTTTCAAATCCAACAAACTTCTTTCAGAAGCACAGGCCTGAGAAAGCTACGTGGAAACCCAAACTCTTCACTAGTCAATTTTCAGAATCCTTTATAAGGGACATAAACCACAATGATATGAACGAGACTGTTGATTTGGATGGCCAAGTGTTTGTCTCGAGAGTCAGTCTGACAGGCTGAAGATGATGCCTGTCACTTCCAATACAACTGAGAATTTACTCTGTCCCAGGCCTTAATGGTAACATCTTGGATGCTTTGCACTTTTGAAAAGGAATTGTGGCCACTGAAAAAGAAAATAAGAGAAACTCCAAAGCTAAATAAAGTTTGGTTTAATGATCACTCAGACTGGAATTGTTGCGCAGACTGTAAAACTCCATGATCACTTTAGAAATGCGACAAGAAATTCCACTCTCAATTCATTACCTTGAGAAGCAGTTGGGAACATTTAGTTTCCATTAAACCTAAACCAGCATTATCTCATGTAATTACCGAGATTTTATTTCAAAATAAAGTTCCCATGAAAAACACCTGTTCAATATTCGAGGCATTCATGACATAAATCTATGCAGTAATAAAAGACAAAAAGTACACCTTTCCACAGAAAGACTCCTGTCGTAGTTAACAAGTAGTTTTATAACTTCAGGATATTCAGTGCTTGGGAAAAAAGAAGACACCTATACCAATCCTATCTCTCGGACATTTATATGAAGTTTCGCTTTCTCTAATTGTCTAGTGTAAAATCCTATGCCTGTTGAAGACAACAGTGAAACTCTAATCAACTTTAATAAATAAAATTTCATCTCTGTTATCATGGTAACACTGAACTCTTCTGAATGAGCTTGCCATTAGTTGATAAATCTACCTGTATTCCAGGCAGTTCTGGAATTGTTAACTTCTCTCTCACTATACATTATAATTACAAATTCTAGGCAGAGGATCAACTTCAAGACAGTTCCATTTCTTTCTACATAATTTATTCTTTTACTGACCATTCAGCTGAAATAGGATTCAAAATGTTTTGAATATATAAAAATAACACTCTTCTCAGAGTTTATCAGTTATGCAAAAAACCCTTTTAATTAAAGTATAAAAGCCAACTTAATCCTTTGATGCTAGGAATAAGGATTATCTACCTACTTACTCCACTGTGCTTTATATAAAATATGCTGGGCTAAATTCTTAATTCTGGCTCTGTGATAGATTAACTCATCACAGGAGTTAACCAGTTTCAACAGCATTAGAAAATTACTTACAAAATGAAACCAAAGAATGGAAAAAAAAAAAAACCCAAACCCAAAAAAACCCACTTCAGGAGTTTCAGATGAAACAAAAGCAGACAATGGTTAAAACTTTTAGATCAGCTGTCTTTTACATACAAGTAGAGCTCTGGCAGTTTAGACATCAAACAGGTCTCCAGATTCTTTAGTTAAATTCAAGCCCTTCTTGGAGTATGGAAAAAATAGCTACAATTTCCTAACTGGTAAGAGTTGCATTTCCTAAAATTATCCATACTTTTACTCTATTCCCCTATTGTACTCACTACTAAGCTATGCCTTATTTCATCTTTCCTAGATCCTAGGAGACTGGGAGCAGAAAATGGTAACTGACTTTACATGAATATTACAGCTTCCTAATAATATTTGACCCAGAAAGGACACCATTTGAATTTTATACAGGTTAGCATAAACACAGTAAAAGTTTGTAAGTCTTTAGTCAGCAACAGACATTTTTTCAATTCGTGCAAAGCTATACAAAATAAAAAAAACCCACCCTAAACCACTGAAATAACAACATAAAATCAGGTAAGTCAGAACTGACTCTGAATGATATACCGGTCTCACTTTGTAGTTAATTTAGTATACAACTTTATTGACTTCCATAGTTGAACTGTGAAAGAACTTCATTAACAGAAATTTCTCTCACACTGCAGAACAGATTAATAACTTCCTGACTAAAATTCAAGTGCAGCAAACAAACCATATTCATTAATAAGATAATGCAGAAGGGAAAGTATAATAAAGTGCCTGCTTGGTTTGAAATGCACAGGTGAAATTGGTAGGGAAGAGAAACAAGCTAAAAACTCAAAACTATGAGAAGCCAAAATGTATTGACTAAGTCACAAGACAGACAAAAAACAGACAGCAGCTTATTTAGTGAAATTTTCCGCAAATTTTGTTGTTTGCCTGTACTGTTGCCATGCTGCCACTATTTGGATTTTACTCTAAGTCTTAGAATTTAGTCTTTTTCTGAAAAATCCAACTCATACTGTTATGCAATTTATAATATTCTCTCTTTTTCTTAAAAACTCTGTCTTCTATCCTGGCTTGCTAAAAGACAAACAGTAGGGCTTCAAGAAACAGAACTAAGCTCTGAAGATTCATCTCTATTTTATTTTTATTTTAAATCTATTACTGTGATTTATCACTAGCAGTTCACTGATGTCTGTGAGAAGTGAGTTAATGGAACTGTGTAACAAGATGGTGACTTATGCATAACAATGTGTAAAGTACTTTACTACTTTATGCAAATAAAATGTTGCCATTGATGTTACTAGGGGAAAAAACTCCCAGCTTTTAAAATCAGCAGAAGACAAAAGTTGATTCAAACAGCTTGCAACACCACAAGCAACACATACTAAAGCTGTTAACTACAAGAAAATTGAAGCAACACAAATGCTTAAAAAAAATTAGTGAAGATGCAAAACCTGCAAGTACCAAAGAAATACCTGAGAAGCATTTGCATCCTATCAGAAGTTTTGGTGTATAGATTAAATTTGTACTGGTTTCTTTTTAGTGTCTGAAGAAAACAAAACCACTTCCAAGTGTACAGTTGTGCATACATCATGAAGCCTCAAAAATAATGCAGAGGCTATATTTCAATAAAAGCATGGTTATCTGAAATCAGAACCAGTAAAGAAATTTAAGAAATGCAATTTTCCTGTGTTCTTTTAAAACATCTCTTCTCAGTCCAATAAGCATTGTTGAGATACATCTAATCTAGAAGCCTAAGCATAAGTTCCTAGATTTTTAAGCCACAATCACTTCGGCATCATAACCACACTACACACGAAATATCTCTGCTCGTTCAAGTGAAAGACTGTGATTTACTCTGAACTACTCCATTAGAAGGCTCTTTAGTTGTTTATCATGTAAGTTCTCTTACGATTTTAGGATATTGTGTCTTAACAAACTTGTCGCCCAGTTTTATGGAGGCAAGCCAGGCCTTCCCTTACAAGTCTGATGCATACAGAAGGCCCAGCTGAAAGGCAGGGTGTTATCCCATCCAAGATTAGTAGTTAACTGTGCATTTCTTCAGTTCAAAGTCTCTTGGTATGTGGTTGTTGCCTCCAAACCACTGTCTCAGTTGGAAGATAGGACCATTAGCACCTGTGATCTGTAGATACTGTTCTTCCTTCTTACTGGAGCAAAGAAAGAGTACTCCCAAAGCTCCCACTGATAACCAAGACTAAGCAACTAACAGCATTACCTTCCATCTTAAAATTATGTCTAATAAATCTTTGACCCTTGAGTTCAAGCCCAGAACAAAGTCTGAACATGAACATACAAAGGCACTTTGAGATATTCAAGTTATGCAAATAGAAAAGGTGCATGAGCCTCAAATAAAGAAAATTAACAAAGAAAAATGATCCACAGAAAACATTCAGTCTACAGCCTTTGCCAGAAAGAACTGTTTAGCCAATTAGATGTGTCTCACAGAGGTGGTAGAATTGGTATAACTACATAGAAAAAGTATATTGACTTCAATTTACAAATAATTTAAAGGACAAAAGACACAATAGAAATATTAGTAAAGCTGGAGAAAGAGCAATGTTACCCTAATCATGTAAATTATAATGTTCAGTCCTTCAGCTCTCTCTTAATAAATCATGCTAGAATTCTTCAATACACTATGACAACTATGACAAAAATACATACAGACATATATCAAATATTGAAATTAGATACTAGGTACGTTCAGTAAATGTGGAAGAAATCTTACTTCAAAAATACAAATCCACTTTTTAAACTGTGTACTGAAAGTTTTAAATTAAGTCATTTTTATATTTAGCACTTCTTTTTTCCTATAAATGCCTAGCTTCTGAGGGCTACAAAACACAAGCGTATCTCAGTTTCTATTAAAATTAATCAAGCAAATTATACAGACATTTTTACTTTAAGAACGTTGAATAAAGCTTGACATTGTATGAAGAAAGACTATCTTAAACTTAAAAAGTAAGGCTACAAAGAGAGAAGAATGGACCAAAGCTCATGATTGCTACACACTAAGGAGTGCCTGTAATGAAGTAAACAAACTAGATTGTGGAATAAATTAATTGATTTGTTAAATCTTTTTCTGAAATGTCTGTCATAACCAGCACATTCCAGTGAGACAAAAATGTTCTGGAATCATCATAGTTGGTTTTGAAAAGACCTGTTTCTGTTAAAAAAAATAGCAGTTTTCTGGTTCAGATAAGTATGAATAAGTATGTTAAAGTAATAGTGGCTCATGGATTTCTATTTTTCAAGGAAAATTTCCTTTATTTTGTTGGATAAACATCTTAATTCTGAAAATATCTATAGCCTGTTCAGTATTGCTTGTATGTTTGATGATATGTAGAGCAGAGCCAATATATGTTTTTCACAGTGCAACTGTCAAAGCCTGGCTAGCTTCTTGATGTCTGCATTTTATTTATTTAGGATGTTAGGAGTTCGGAAAGCAGAAAGTATTTTACTGAGATCTGTGTACTCTGAGCTAAGGAGTGAACAAAGATGCTAAGAATTACTTTGAATGAACAGTACACCAGTACGACTATGTGAACAATGCTTCTATTTCTAGGGTAATGTCGTGGTTTTAACCTGGGCTCTCTGTAAAGTACCACACAGCCACTTGCTGACCTTCCCCCCTCCACTAGTGGAGGAGGAGAGTCAGAGGAAAAGGCAAGGAAGCTTGTAAATTTAAGAACTATTTAATAATATAAATTAACATTATAGTGATACTGTATTATAGTGATAAGTAATTAAAATAATAGAAAAGAGCACCTATCATACAATTGCTCACTGACTGACACACAGCCAGGTCCTGAGTAGTGAGAATCCTCAGAGCCCCCAAAGCCAGAGCCCCAGGACAACAACCCCACCTGGAAAAAGCCATCTGACTCCCCAGTCCACTAACAAACTAACCCACCCCACTGCTAACAATTGTGCCAAGAGCTCACAAAGGAGCTCATGACCCAGCTATCAAGCTATCCCAAGTCTTCAAAGACCCCACCAGGCCACTTCCCACCTCAGAACTGCAGATGTGCCCCGAGCCTGACATACCATGGAATGAAACACTCCTTCGGCTGTTCTGGGCCAACCGACCGCACTGTGGAGAAAAGCAGCTATTTCCTGACAAAAACCAGCACAGGTACCTAACTAGGGACATCACAAGATTTCAAGAGTGTAAAGAGATCAGCTAGTCTTTTGTCTTAAAGGACAAGAAGGTAAGTAAGGCAAGGTCCTGAGCAAAGAGATAATGCCTCATCTAGGAAGAAATACTGGGACAGCTGCTTTTCAGGATTTAATAACAAAGCCATATTAAGTAATAACAACATGGTGGTCTTTTCTGCAGTCAGTACTGCAGATAGATGATTGAGGCTTCCACTTCTTTCATTTTCCCATTCTTCTGTCTTATTGCTAGCCTCAACTGAAATTAATGCACAACCAACTTTTCTACTACAGCACAGTACTTTTCATGTAAAAGCTACCTATTCAGCATAATTATCCAGTGTATCATGGTTTAGCTCCAGTCAGTAATCAAGAACCACACAGTTGCTCATTCACCTCCCTCTCCCCAGTGGCATGGGGGAGAGAATCAGAGGAAGAACAGGAAAGAACTCGTTGGTTGAGATAAGAACAGTTTAGTAATTAAAAATAAAGAAATAAAAATAAATAAAACAATGATGCAAATAATACTAATAATATGTAATAATAATAACAGCAACAACAATAATAACACTAATAATAAATGATGAAGAAAAATAGAACTATTACTAATGATAACTGTATGTAATGAGAAGGAAAACAGTAATGGGAAAAACACCCAAATGATAAAACTGCTCTCCGACTGCTGACTGATGCCCAGCCAGTCCAGAAGCAGCAAGAACCAGAGACAGAAGAGTCTGTGAGAGCATGAGAGCACACTGAGGGAGCCCCCAGACAAGCATGACATTTTATGGCATGAAATGTCCCTTTTGTCAGCTTGGGTCAGCTGCCCTGGATGAATGCAGGGAAGCTGGGAACACAAGTGCAGTATCAGAAACTGAAAAAGTCCTTCACTTAATACAAACATTGGTTTGGAACAACTAAAAACATTAGTTTATTGTCAATATTTTTCTCAGCACAAATCCAAAACATGGCCTTATACTAGCTACTGTGAAGAAAATTAACTCTATCCTGACCAAAACTTGCACACAGTACTTTGTAGTTCCCAGCCTTCATAGAATCATAGA